GATCAACAGCAAAAAACAAATGTGAGGTAGGCTGAACTTGATGGACGCAAGTCTCTTTTCAGCTATGTAACTATGTAACTATGTAACTATCTACTTAATATCTTATTTTTGAGTTTTTTCTCATTTAAGACGCTTAATAGTGTATGTAGCAGCCCCGTTTTATTTATTTTTATATTTTTTATTATACCTACTTTTATAGAGTTCTTCTAGTTTAATTGTTTGGCATTCCCACCATATATGGATTTCATCTGTCCTTTCAAAACCACATCTCCAACATGTATATTTATCCTGAGGGAACATGACCTGTATAAATACAGACATACATACTGACATGAACAGATGTAACCTGGGTGCTAAATAGTTTTCAAAATTGTTTTCAAAATTGCTTCACACTCTGGTGTAATCCCAAAACTCCATCAAAAAGAGAAAGTAATGTGTGCTAGTGAGTGGAGCAATTTATACCATATATAAGACAGAAGAAAGAGTATATATATACAAACTGGTTTCGATTTTAAGTGTAACTTCCAGCAATAATGGTATATATGTAAAGAAAAAAGGGAAAAAAGCAATGATAGTGCAGATTGTATAAAAAATATATAAGCATATATACTTATAACAATTCATAAATTGTGAAGTATCACTTTAAGAAATATTTGGTGAAACCCCAATAGGAAAAAGCTGACATAAATTTATTATCTGCCACATGCAGAAAAAGCAGTACATATATACATAAAATAGAATAATAAAAAATGATGATAAAAAATAGGGTGACAAGCCCCTTACTAGATAAGGTGGTGAGTTTGACACATATATGTCAACTCACTATCAGAGTTCAATCATTAGGGTGGTAGGCTGCTCGTCCGGCGTTCTTCCTGTTCGGCTGCTAGAGAATCTCCTCGTGTATTGTCTGCTGCCAGAAAACAAACCCCTCCGGACTCCGTGGTCTGTAAGCTCCTCCCCCTTTGTATGAAGTCAACGCGTTTCGCCAATCGGCTTCCTCAGGACGTGCTCACAACCTTCATCTTGGTTGTGGGCTTAAATAGGGCAACAATCCCTCATGATTGGTTTATCACTAATTCAATTGAAAAAGTCCAATTGTTCAATTAAATTAACTAAATATCTTGACATAAAGTTTAATGGGACTTGGATTCAAATCTACAGCTGTCATAAAAGACTCATTTAAGACTCTTTAAAGGATTGTGCATGGCAGAAAAATAAATAACATGGCAAAATTAAACAGCAAAAAGGCATTGATAAAATCACAAAATCACAAAGATACACAGCAAAAAAAAAAAAAAAAGCAAAATTGAACAGCAAAAAGGCATTGATAGAATCACAAAATCACAAAGATACACAGCATATTAATATTGATTAAGATTTAAATTTAGTTATGATTTAAAGCAATATTGCCTAAAAAGGATAAAAAGAGAGAACTATTAATTGGCATATCTCAAGACTTACTCTTATTGTAGTTTTGGCAAACACAATATAATAGATAAAACATGAATAAAATGTAATAATAATTAGAATCAACAGTGGTAATTATTTATCAGAAAGTGTCCCAGTGGGAAAGGTGCATAACAAAGTGCAATCACAAAAAAGTGCAATCACAAAAAGACTTATCATCCATATAAATGTGAACAATATAATGGTGAAACAAAATAGGAATAGAACTGAGAGCATGAAAATCTGATGAATTGGAAAAAAATAATTGATGAATTGGAAAAAATTGATAAGTTTAAAAAAAACAATTAATTTAAAAATGCTTTTGAAAAGCAGTTATAAAACATTGAAGGATAAAAGTGTATATTTAAAAAAATAAATTTAATTAAAAGTATACGGCTTCCTGAGGTTCCTAGTTGGTCTCCCATACAAGTACTAAGCAGGCCCAAGTCTGCATGACTTCTGAGATCTGACGAGGCAAATTTCAAAGTCATTGTTCAGGCCATATGGAACCATAGTATTTAAAGTAAAAATCCATTGCATCTCAGCCTTCCCTATTTTTCTATGAAATCCCCTCCCCTCCATGTTCTCGAGATTCGTTGGATTGCAATAAAACATAATTGTGTAAAATCAGCCTGATGGTGTTGTGCAAAGTGTGCTGACACTTGGTGTAGCGCATATTTCCTCTTTATGTTATAGACATGCTCACCTATATGTGTGTATAACGGTCTCGTCGTTCGTCCTACATAATGTAGACCACACGTACAGGTAAGTAGGTATATAACGTTTTTGGAACTACATGTTATACCTTCCTTTATTCGGTATGTGATATTATTGACAGTAAAATCCTTAACATGTTGCTTTTTACTTCCTATTTTTTGCACGTACTAAAAAGCAACATGTTAAGGATTTTACTGTCAATAATATCACATACCGAATAAAGGAAGGTATAACATGTAGTTCCATGTAGTTCCAAAAACATTATATACCTACTTACCTGTACGTGTGTACTGAGGAGAAGCCACACCTGTCACTGGTACAACAGGCTGGAGATCAGGCAAGACACCCTGCAGCAAGGAAGCGTAGGAGTCCACTACATGGGTCCTATGGAAGGACTGCAACAGGGTAAATAAGGCTTCCCTAGTCATGTCAGCTTCTCCAGCTATTATCAAAGTAGGATATTAGTAGAAATTAATAATAATTTATTGAAAATGTGCTTATTTCTGCAGGAAATCACCACAGGAAAAAGCACCACCAGGATCCCTCGGCTGTGCTCCAGTGATCTGGTGAGTTCTCACAGAATTCCCGGCTCTGTAATAAACATTGTAACAATTTTGTTACTATGCCAACCTCTCTGGGCAGCAGCCATGCTCCCCCTCCTTAATCACTCCGGGGATTGGCCTGTCTTCCTTATGAATATCAATACACTTATTTTGCCTTGATTTGTATGTATGTTGGTTTCTTTGCATTTCACCCTATAGATGCTGCTCTAGTCAGCACCCCTTCCTGACCAGACCCCTGACAGCCCCTTTGTGTGGGCACCCCAGCCCCTTTGTTTGTCTCTCCCCCAGCCCCTTTGCATGTCTCTTTTTCCCCTGCCCCTACATGTGTCTGTGTCCCCTTCCCCAGCCCAGCACCACCATCAGGGTGTCACAGGCCCATCTATCTAGAAGAGTCCGGGCTGCTCGGGAAGCTTCGAGCCCCAGTAGATACGACTGTTTGGGACCCAGTCACATTCCTAATGTGACTGGGTCCCAAACAATAATAAAAAAATATGGTCGGTCCTACACATTTCGTCCCAAACAAATATAGGACTTCCTCAGGGACCAATGAGTAAAAACAGTAAGCACAATTGTAAATGCAGGTCTCTCAAATAGGGCTAATCCATGAGTCCATCTTTGATCTGGTGGGCATCTTCTTTCTTCTAATTGGACCTGTGTGGGTTGGAATCACCTGTTCAGCTTTATGCCATCTTCCTTCCATTCATCACAGCTGTTATTTGCATGTATTCGTGTAACCGGAAATGTTATGTGTTCCAACAATTATACTTCTATGTGTTCCATATAACCTGAAGTGGTATGCGGTCCAACTGTAGTTTTCTGTGCGTTCCAAATCAGGCTTGCATCTATGATACCTAATAGAAGTATGAGGACCCACTAGAATTTCTCTTATAGAGAGAACAGTACAAAAAAAAAAAAAGATAATTAAAATATGATACATAATTTATAAAAAAGTGCATATAGATTCTCTATAATCCTTAGTAATTTGAATCTCCTTCCATTAATCAAAAAATGTTAGTTAATAAGTGAATTAGTGAGATATCATGCGTGATAATTAAATCTCATTTAATTTATCAAGTTACAAGTGCCTTATAATTTTGATACATTATAAATATACATTTATACATGGGTAACAATAGTGAAAAAAATTATACATAAATAACCAATGTGTATAATAATCTATAATTTATGGTAATAGCCATACATACCCACCCTAGCAATCTCAACCTTCACATGAAACAGACCAGAGCCACATCCACATTTAACCCTTGTGGTTCCAAAGTCTGCATTTTGTGGATCCAGTATGTCTCCCGTTGTGATAATTTTTGGACCTGATCGCACCCCCCCCCCCTCCAATGGGGCAAGACTTTTTCAATCCCAATACATTTAAATTTGTCAAAAGAAAAAAAGGGACAGTTGTTACAATGAATCAGAACAGTTACAAGACCCTTTTTGATATTATTGATATGTTCCATGAGTCTTATTTTAAGTATTCTATTGGTTCGGCCGACATATTGTTTGCCGCACAGACATTGTAGTAAATACACCACAAAGTCCGTGAGGCATCCCACTTTTGATCTGATGTTGAAAGAGTCACCCGTAACGGAACTAGTAAATCGGTCTGTTCTCTCTCTGTGTACTGTATGACATGTCTTACAGCAATTACAACCCCTAGTATGGCCATTCTTGCAGATTAAATTATCCTTTAGGTCCCTAATGGCATAACTAGGTGCCAATACATTTTAGAAATTTTGATTTTTCTGGAAAATAAGTTTAGGATATTCCGGTAGGAGGGTGTTTAAGTATAGGGTCCTGTAAGAGAATAGACCAATGTTTCTGTAAACCCCTCTTTATTTGTAAATGGTCAGAACGGTATTGGGTTTTGAAAGCAAAACTAAAATGGTCATTGGATGATTTGACACAGGGTTTGTCCATTAAATAATTATTCCTATCTGTTTGCATCATTAATCGAATTTCCCTTTCCAACGAGTTCTTTTCAAAGCTCCTCTCTAATAATTTATTCTTCATGTGAGTTGATTGAGATCTCAAATCATGAATGTGTGAGCAATTACGTCTTACATGAGCAAATTGCCCCTTCGCAATTCCCCTGAGCCAAGGACGGTGGTGACAGCTTTGGTGATGTACATACCCATTGCCGTCGATAGGTTTAAAGTAACAATTTGTTCTTATTTGATCATTTTCATAAAATAAGGTTAAATCAGGAAAATGTATTTCATTTTGGTTCCATATCGTCTATATATCTCCGCCAGAGCACCAGATTCTCCCTCCAGTCATGACAAGACCAAATGAATAGATCCTCCCATCTCCTCATATAGATGTTGGAATAACTGAGGGCGAACCTGGTGCCCATGGCGTTCCCCGTGATTTCTAAATAAAAGAAAAAATAATTGTGCTCCAAAATAAAATTAACTGAAATCAGAAACATACAGACACATGCAGACAGACACATACACACAGGCATACAGACACACATACATACAAAGATACATACATACAAACAGACAGGCACACATACATACATACAGACACACACAGACACATACAGACAGACACAAACACAGGCACACAGACACATACATACACAAAGACAAATACATACATACAAACAGACAGGCACATATACATAGAGACACATACACACATACATACAAACACACGCATATACAAAATGTTTAAGTCACTCTCCTGTTTCCTACCTTTTAGCTGCAGGAGGGTGACTTTCCCTGGGGTCCAGTGGTGGCTCAGGTTGATGGGAGTCAGAGTTCCCACTCTGCTTCCTCCCACGCGGGCTCTGTGTATGCTGGGAGGAGTGACCGGGGCAGTCACTTCCTCCCAGCTCTGTCTGATCTCATCACAGGGGGCCCAGTCGCGCTGTTAAAGCGCCCAGTGCTGACTGGCCCCCTGAAAATCCATCTCCATGAGGTGACCCTTACAGCATGAGCCACCCAATGGACCCCTTGAACGGCGGCCCCGGCGTTTTGCCGCACGGGCCAGGGGCGCAAAACATGGAGGCTGATACCCCGTCGCAGGGGTCCGCAGGGCGGCCGGGCCCCTGGAGTGACGGACCCAGTCGCAGCTGCGACCCCTATATGTACGCCACTAGGACTCTTGACTGGCTGTTTAGTGAAGAGGGGGCCCAGCAAACACCATCTCCAGTTGCCGGTAGATTCTCTCTCTAACTCTCACAAGCTCCCTGCCCTTAGAGTTTTGCTGTGGGTTACCATTGCACAGCTCCATGCAGCATATAGATTGGGTCAAATTCAAATTATTAGTGACTTCACTCTACTACACATGCACCATCAAACAATAATACCACAGAATTATCAATGTACTTAAAAATGTATTTTAAAAGCAGATATGTTATCTATAGTTTACTATTAGTTTCGTGAAAATGTACAAAGTCATTAGATTTGGAGAAGTTTCCCTGCAATGCAGAATCGGCACAGAAATAACAATCTACACTTGTTTCCAATCTTTGACCATGGATGAAAGTTTCTCAAAAGCTTCTAGCAGACCATTCCCATCTGTACCACAGCACCCACATATCTCCCACCTTCTATGCTTTATTTTCTCAAGCTCCAGATAACGAGCAATGTCTGCTGGGCTATGTGCCCCCTCTATATCTTGCATGTTGGCGAGGACAATTAGAGGTAGATTGTCCGTGTCTTCAAAAACCAAACAAAACAAATTTTCTTTGACTTCACCAAATCTTTCAGAATCTGTACTGTCCACTACAAACACTAAGCCATGACTGTCTGGTAGAAAATGTCGAATCAATGGCCATCCCTTAGCCCCCACGCTAACATCCCACAAAGTGAATGACACCAATGAAATTGGGTCCAAAGTCTCTACGCGATGCCCAATACTTGGGGTAGTGGACATGGTCTTGTTGAGTTTCATCTGGTAGAGAATTGTTGTCTTGCCAACTCCATCCAATCCAACCATCACAATTCTAGCTTTCATGGGGCCCATCCTCCCACAGAATCCCTGTATTCGGGTTACCATGCTTCCCATGCTGAAGGTTTACTTTTAAGTTCTGTTAAATACAAAAAAAAGTATAACACATGAGTGAGCATTTATCAGAATTTGTGATAACTGAAGACTGTGATTTCTAAGTACTCAGTAAGGAAAAATAACAGTTGCCTATGACTGTATGGAAAAAAGAAAACATGTTCGTTAGTGCATATAAATCTTGGTTTTACATTACTAGTAATTGCATTCTGCGTGTAGGATCCCAGGACATTCTTGACAGCCTAAGGGACGACTATGTGCATGTCAAGTCACTAGGACTTCTACATTGCGCACAACCACCACCACCCCCTAAAAGAACGGTGATGCTTCCCACTATCCTCATCTATTTTAATACACAGTCATCCTGCTGTATCAATTGACATCATCAATTTCATCAAGCAACTGTCTCTTTGATAGACAGTTGCATATTGGAAAAAAAGTAAAGACAACCGCATCTTACTGCCTCTCCACCCCCTTGATTCTGGGCTAAGGAGACACACATACTCAGACCCACCAACAATATGGAGCTCCTATAAAAGAGAGACAGATGGATTTGGACCCAAAACAAGGAGTATCTTTACCAAATTGTCAGGATTACTGCTGATCCAGCACGCAGAATTGTATTACACCTAGGTCTAAGGATAATGTCTAACCGGACCTTAGAATGGCCGGACTAAACATACCAGAGAATAGTCAAAATACTTGCCAAGGTCAGGGACACAGCATGAGGAATAGCGACAAGGAAAAGCCAAAAGTCAAGGATACCAGAAATAAGGGAAGTCAGAAGGAAGCCAAAGTCAAAAAACAGAAAAACACGATCAGGAACACACTCTCGGATAACCATCAAAGGGAAACCATGACAGGGCACTGACAGAAAGATAATTTGGGTTTAAATACCCCTCCTTTGCCTGTAATTGGCTGCCCCTGACCTCTGACACCAACACGTGCGTGCGGGCCTATGATGTGACGTTGCACGCACGTTGGCGCCATCTTTGGTGTGGGCGAAGGTAAGTTTATTACAAAAATCAGAACCGCAGCTTTCGGCGCTCCTAAGAGCGTCGCACCCGCTGGGGACTGGACTGGAGGGAGGTCGGGCAGTGATCTGCCGCGAACAAGGTAAGTATAATTTGTTTCTGTCTGCGTGGTTGCTTACTTTATGTGCAACCACGCCGGCAAAATCCCCAGGAGCCGTGACAGTACCCCCCACTTGAAGACCACTTGTCGGGTGGGCAGGACCAGGCTTGAGGGGAAACCTAGCATGGAAAGTAGGGAGTTTGCGGCCCGCATATATGTCCAAGGCAGAATTCCAATAATGATCGGCAGTTCTATAATCCTTCCAATCAACCAAATACTGCAGAGATCTGCGAGAAAACCTGGAGTCAAGTATAGAGGAGACTTCGTACTCCTCCTGTCCAGAAATAACCAAAGGAGGGGGAGGGTCAGAAGGGGGGTAAGCCTGTTACAGATAAGAGGGTTCAGTAGGGATACATGAAATGTGTTAGGTATACGCAGAGATGCGGGGAGAGCCAGGGAATAAAACACAGGATTAATCCTGCAAATTATTCTAAAGGGCCCAATAAATCTGGGAGCAAACTTCATGCTAGGAACCTTGAGTTTGATATTTCGTGAGTAAAGCCATACCTGATCACCCACCTGGTAAACAGGGTTGGCACCACGCCGCTTATCAGCATGCATTTTAAAACGAGCAGCAGCAGTTTCTAAAGCCATGTGGACCTCACGTATACAAGTCATCCATAGTGGGAATAGCAGTGTCAGAGAACACTGCAGGGAGGACAGTAGGATGACGACCGTTGTTAACAAAAAATGAACTATGTCTAGATGAGTCATGGGTTGTATTATTTCTGGCGAATTCGGCCCATGGTAGTAAACCAGACCAGTTTTCCTGGGTGCCATAAATAAAATATCTCAAATATTGTTCCAATGATTGGTTGGCTCTCTCAGCCGCGCCATATATGAGCCAGCTCAAAGTAGCCATTAGAAATAGGTAGTTCCACAATAAAGTACATAAACAAATGAGACATGGAATACTGGGTATAGGAAGCAGTTGTAATAGCCCAAAAGGTAGTTTATGGGGAACCTTAGAAACCGCACAAATAGTACATGCCTCCACATACTCCCTGATGTCCTTTCTAAGAGATGGCCACCAAAATGACCTAGAGACAGCGGAAACAGTTTTATTATACCTGGATGACCAGCTGTCACATTATCATGAAACACTCTTAGTACCTCCTCTCTTTTTAGTAACGGAATAAACAATCTATCTTGAGGTTTATCACTAGGTGCCGGAGTCTGAGCTGCCATTATAGCACAGAGAAGAGGAGAAGACAATGAAAGCACCGTAGAGGCAATGATACATTCCGTTGGTATGATGGGAGAAGTTTCTTGTTCTTGTTTCGCCTCTAGGTCAAATTGCCTATATATGGTGTCTGCCTTAATGTTCTTAGGACCAGGCCTGTAAGTGATGAGAAAGTTAAAGCGTGACAAGAACATGACAAGATGCTCATAGTGACCACTTCTTGTCTTAAATGCAGTTCTCCATTCATGACCCTTTTTAATCCTTACCAACATTTAAGTACTCCTAAGGTTGAGATTGATAAATATCTTAGCGCCTTGGAGTCTGTCAAATAGTACTGAGATAAGGGGAATGGGATAAGCATTTTTGATGGTTATCTTGTTCGATGCCCTATAATCAATACCTGGGCGTAACTCTCCAACTTTTTTAGACACAAAAAAGAACCCTGCACCAGCAGGTGAAGAGGAGTTATGTATGTGACCTTTAAGTAAAGAATCTTTGATGTAATCCTCCATAATCCTACTCTCCTGTGGAGATAAGGCATATACTGTTGCCTTAGGAGGCATGGTGCCAGGTAACAGATCTATGGATTTGCTTGCATCAAAAAATCATAGATATAAGAGACTAATGAGAATCTTTTTTAAAAATTGGGCAGACTAGATGAGCCGAATGGTTCTTATCTGCCGTCACATTCTATGTTTCAATGTATCAATAGTCTCTGTTTTTGTAGAACTAATATGAAAAGCTAATATGATGGCATGTACTTTTGTGAAGATTGTTTAAGTGCAATAAAGTTATTGTATTCTGATCCCAGAGTCACCCTCTCTCTGCTGAGGTAATTTCCTGTGCTGCTGTCCGCAGTGTCGATGTGAAAACACTTCTTCGAGAAATCCTCCCACAGAGCACAGAGTGACAGAGCAATGAGCAAATTCCATTCACAGAGTGTTCATTGGTTGCCAGGTAACCATAAGGTGCAGCCAAGAGAGATGAGCCTGTAAAGCCACTGCTCATGTATATATAGCAGAGCAGCATGCAAGACACAAACAAAGCTACTACAGACAAATACGTAGATCTGCAGAAACAGAATCCGGAAAGAACATCCACTGTGAATCTTGGGTATCATCCTGAGCAGTCTCCATTACGCTCTTATGGACCTCAGTGGAACCGAGGCTCATATCCTCCTGGTGGGTCTCGATGCAGCTGGGAAGACCACAGTTCTGTTCAGGATGAAGCTGAATAGGGCTGTCTGCACTATCCCTACAATTGGATTCAATATGGAAACGATTGAGCCCATTCGTAATGAGTCCTTCACCGTCTGGGATGTCGGTGGCCACGAATTGATCCGACCGCTGTGGAGACAATACTCTCAGAACAGACATGGACTGATCTTTGTGGTGGACAGTGCTGATTCGGAGAGATTTCCTGAAGCAAAGAGTGAACTTGAAGCCATTCTTGAAACTGATGATATGAGAGGGGTCCCACTTTTGGTGATGGCCAATAAGCAGGACCTTCCAGGTGCCAGGAAAACACTGGACGTAGCCGAGGCACTGGGACTGATGAAGATACAGGATCACCAGTGGCATATCCAGGGATGCTGTGCTGCAACAGGGGATGGATTGGTGGAGGGGCTGGAGATCTTCACCAACATGGTGAAACAATTCAGAAGCCATACTGAGTTGGGAGTAAGAGCATCTTGTCTGACTTGAGTGCATGCTCATAGCAAAACTCAGGTCTGCATTTTGGCAAACAGCACAAGCTGTGAGTAAATTTACATAACTGACTGGTGGCAAATAAAAGAGTGCAAAAACATTTTTAAAAATGACCTTTCAGCTCACGTTGACTTTTCTAACTGCTGAAAAACTACATTGAAAGGTGATGGAATGGGAACCGGAACGCTCGAATTTATGGTCCACAGTTTGGACTTATTTAACTTTTACACACTTTGTTGGCAGAATTTTGCCAGAGATTTAGGAGAATGAAGCAGAAATTGAATGATTCTATAGAATGTGCATAACAATGTTATACCATGTGCCATATTTTTCATATAATGTTGCATTAAATGTTATTGTTAATTTTACAAATAAAATCTATAACTTTTTCCACAAAGAAAAATAATATAATGTTCATCTCTGAAAATGTTTGACAAAGGAGTATATTACCTATACAAGGAGTTAAAAATCAAATTGAAAAATTTAGAGCAAAAATTGCTAAGGTAGAAATAAATATCTATCTTTGTTGCAATAAGTTGATTGTGAATTCTCAGTTTACTGAATAGAACCATAACTATTTTGTAGTACTGCAGATGGCCAGAGAGGGCACCTTGCACATTATTTTCCTCTCCAACTCTTTAAGAGTCTGATCCACAATTGCTTGCATGTAAGCAACGCTCTCAAGTGTCCCAATTTAGGAAGGACAGTCCCTATATTGGGCCCAAATGCCTCAATCCAAATGTTGCTGCTCTCTAGGTGTGTCTGGGTGTATAATGGAGCTCCACAGGAATATGAATAAATGTGTCTTACAACTATTTTATTTATTTATAAAATATTTTACCAGGAAAGATACATTGAGATTTCTCTTGTTTTCAAGTATGTCCTGGGTCCACAAAACAGTGCATTGATACATTATGGTACAATAAAATACAAAAACAAGGGGGCGGAGCCTAGCTTCCAGGCTGAGCAGATGTTCCTGGACAGAGCTCCTGGGAAAATAGATGCTTTAGGGGAAAATAACCCCCCAAACCTGGCACATCTGCCTCCTGGAGGGCTATCAGCAAGAAGGGGACACCCGGGTGTACTCATCGATACCTGACTTACCTTTATCACCGCCCGGGACCAGAGATACCCTCCAGAGGCCTACCGAGCTCCGAGCCGGGGTGAGACGGCCGCTCTCCCCGCTCAAAGGACCACACAGACACACACACCTTTGGACTGGGGCGGATATCCCGGTCTACTCTAAAGCGTCTGGAGCAAACCGCTTAGACCGGGTCTTCAGCATCAAAACTTCAGGTTACTTACAGCTTATGTAACTCAAGATGGTGGCTGCTGACCACAACCTGTGCCACAGTCAAGGCCCCATACGCGGGGAAACCACAGACACCCTGCAGCGCTTGGAGGAAATTTTTCTCCGCTTCTGGGAGAAACTCTGGGAGCAGGAACAGAAAACGGAGACCAAGCTACAATACCTGAAAGACAGGAGTGAGCAAGGCCGCATGCAGCGGGGTAGGAAGGTGTCACCCTCGGACGCAGCGCCTGTGGAGGCATCCAAGCGGCAACAGACCATCAGGCCCCCCAGCGCTCACACAAGTGGAGGGAACTCAGCCTCTAAGAACCGAGTTAGTGGCAAAGAGATGCGGACCTTCACACCAGGCTGCGGCTGGAGGGACACCTACATCCGAACCTGTATAGCAGCGGCACGCCAAGACCCACCGACAGACTCCATGTGTTTCCCAGCAGAGGGAGTTGGTTGACTGGGACAGATACACGCATACAATCCCATGTCTCCAGTGATCAGCTACACATACCCGTGGACACCTCACACAGACATGTGGATTCATCTCCCAGGGGCAATACCTCTTAAAGCCTCAGGTGACTTTCTCTCTGAGCTCCAGACCGTAGTGCAAAGAAATGGTTGGCAAAGTCTGATATGTCTGGCCAGTCTAATACTCCCACAGACTCACACTAGGTGGACACAATCTCATATAAGTTATAGCATATGGCAACCTAATATGTGGACTTGAGAACTACCCTATTCCTCTGCAACTTTCCTTCCAGGCAAGGATCGTCCCCTCTAACTATTCCACTGCAGCTTTCCTTCTATGCATAGTATGATGCAACCCTTCTCCAGGCAGGGATCGTTCCCTCTGCCTATTCCACAGCAGCCCTTCTTCCAGGCAGGTATCCACCTCTGCCTCACTGGCCTAGCTCTCTTGATTTATCCCAGAGCTAGTGGGATCGTGTAGCCAGCCAACAGGTCCGAAGACTCTGTTACTGGGATCCCCTAAAAATCCACACAGGACACAAGTTCCAAAAGGGAAGCCTTTGGGGACTAGTTCTTAAACATTTGGTGACAAACATTTAACATACAAATGAGCAGTTACAATTAATACATAAACTACATATAACAACATTTCCAAACACAATACAAAAAAACAATAATATATACATTTAATCATGTATGTGGTTGCCCTAGTTTTTATACCAGAATTATGCAAATGTTCACACTTTCAGGGACTCCTGGGACCAGGTCCATAGTCTGTGGGTCTTTGGCCACTCCAGAAGGCCATGACATGAGCGCTTCTGTCACAATGATTAAAGTCTTTTTAGACACAGTTCTTTACAATGTATATTAACACACTGCCCATGTGTCCCTATTTAGGAGGAACAGTCCCTATTTTGGACCCACATCACTCTGTCCCTCTTTTCTATCCAAATGTCCCTCTTTTCTAGGAGCTCCATAATTTTGGTGTCCCTGAGTGTATACCAGAGCTCAACAGCAAAAATACTCCCAATAATGTGGCTTTAAACAATAAATAAACATCAATAAGTGGATTTAGAAATCAGTCTGTTTAAATAAGATACATTGTTCTTGTGCTATATTGCATTTTAGTTGCAGACATTATTATCAGTAAGATACCTCACTTTCCTGGACCAGCTGCTTGCTAAAGTGTCTTAGAATCGACAGTCACTGTATTCAAGGAACTACTATGAAAAGAAAACATATTTGTATGAACTTTTGTAAACATTGTTTCAGTGCAATAAAGTTATTTTATTCTGGGCCCGAAGTCATCTTTTCTCTGCTGAGGTCACTTCCTGTGTGGCTGTCAGCAGTGTCGATGTCAAAACACATCTTTGGAATCCTCCAACAGAGCACAGAGTGACAGAGCAATGAGGAAATTCCATTCAGAGAGTGTTCACTGGTTGCCAGGTAACCATAAGGTGCAGGAAAGACAGATGAGCCTGTACAGTCCCTGCTCCTGTAAATATAGCAGAGCAGCATTGAAGACACAAACAAAGCTACAGACAAACACTACAAGCAGATCTGTACAGACAGAATCCAGAGAGAACGTCCACTATGGGTAGCTTCCTGAGCAGTCTCCAGTCTCCCAAGGTATTGCAAATGGGGTATGTCCAGTCTTTTTTAGTAGCCACTTAGTCACAAACACTGGCCAAAATTGGCATTCAAATTTGTTTTTGTTGTTTGCATTTTTCTCACACAAACAAATGTTAACACTAACTTTGGCCAGTGTTTGTGACCAAGTGGCCACTAAAAAAGACTGGACATACCCCATTAATACCTTGGGTTGTCTACTATTGCAAATGGTATGACATCATTGGGGTAATTCTCATTCCTGGGCTACTATACGGTCTCAAAGGCAACATAACGAATCTAGCGAATTTCAATGTGAAAAAACTGAAAAATGTAACATGCTATATTTGACCTTGTAACTTCCCAAAACACCATAAAACCTGTACATAGGGGGTACTGTTTTACACATGAGACATCGCTGAATACAAATATGTGTATTTTATTGCAGTAACAGCTAACAGTATTATGACATTCACAGTTAACCCCTTAACGCCGTTATGGCGTTCTATGCCATCCCGCATTAAGTGGGCTTTAAAGCCGTTGCGTCGGCATAGAACGCCGTAATGGCTTTGAGCCCTGAAAAGCCCGGGATACTTACCTACCCGGCGCTCCGCTTCGGAAGGACTGCCTCACAGCCCAGGCAGCCCTCCCACAGCAAAAGAAGCCCCCGGGGGCCATGTGATCGCTCTCTAAGAGCGATCACATGGCCCCCTATAGCTGGCTGTGGATCTGCTAGCAGGGGGACTGTCTGAAATGTCAGACAGTCCCCCTGCTGGTCGGCAAGTAAAAAAAATATTATTAAACATGTTATAAAATAAATATATAATATATATATATATATATATATATATATATATACACATATTATATATGTAACGTCATACATAGTGTATTTTAATATTAATATAAGTACATATATTAGTATTAAAATACACTTAGAATGACGTTACATATATATAATATGTATATATATATATATTATATATATAATAGATATATACACGTATAATTACAATAATAAAATTTAATATACATTATATATTCATATGTAATTTCATTCTAACTGTATTTTGTTATTAATATATATATATCTTTTATGTAATTATATGTGTATATATATATATTTGTGGTTATTTGTATTTTATATATAGATAGAATGACATTCTATATATATCTATCTATATATAAAATACAAATAACCGCAAATATATACACATATAATTACATAAAAGATTACATTAGTATACACGTAGAATTTAAATACCTATAAATGCATATATATTAAAATTCTACGTGTATATTTAAGTAATCTTTTAACATAATTATGTGATTTGATTAATTAAAATTTGATTGAAATGCCTGACAACACAGGGAGAAAGTGCATTGAATTTAATTCGCAAGCATTATATTTGACCCTGTAACTCTCCAAGACACCAAAAAACCTGTACATAGGGGGTACTGTTTTACTCGGGAGACTTCGCTGAACTCAAATATTAGTGTTTCAAACTGGTAAATTGTATTACAACGATGATATTTTAAGTAAAAGTGAAGTTTTTTGCATTTTTTACAAACGAACAGCACTTTTATGGACTATATTATTGTTGTAATATGTTTTACTGTTTTAAAACACTAATATTTGTGTTTAGTGAAGTCTCCCAACAACAACAGTACCCCCCATGTACAGGTTTTATGGTGTTTTGGAAAATTAGAGAGTCACAAATAAGGCTTGCATTTAATTTTTTTTACATTGAAATTTGCCAGATTGTTTATGTTGCCTTTGAGAGCGTACAGTAGCCCAGGAATGAGAATTACCCCCATGATGGCATACCATTTGCAAAAGTAGACAACCCAAGGTACTGCAAGTGGGGTATGTCCGGTCTTTCTTAGTAGCCACTTAGTCACAAACACAGGCCAAATATTAGTTTTTTGCTTTTTTCACACAAAAACAAATATGAAAACTAACTTTGGCCAGTGTTTGTGACTAAGTGGCTACTAAAAAAGACTAAACATACCCCACTTTCAATACCTTGGGTTGTCTACTTTTTCAAATGGTACGCAATTATGGGGGTAATTCTCATTCCTGGGCTACCACACCGTCTCAAAGGTAACATTACTAATCTGGCAAATTTGAATTTGAAAATGAAAAGTTCTATATTTGACCCTGTAACTTTACAAAACACCATAAAACCTGTTAATGGGGGGTACTGTTGTACTTGTGAGACATCGCTGATTACAAATATGTGCATTTTTTGGCAGTAAAACCTAACAGTATTATGACATTCACAGCTAAAATGTCAGACGGAAATACAAATGTAAAACAAAAATAATCCTATTTTCTCACACTTTTTAAAATTTTATTCATAATAAATTATGTTCCATATATGAATAGTTAATGATAAATTAAAGCCCTGTTTCTCCTGAACAAAATGATATATAATAAGTGTGGGTGCACTTAATGTGACAGCGGTGAATTACGGTTGAACAGACATATAGCGCAAATTCCAGTTTTTGTTTACGTTTTGTTTTGATCAGAACGTGCACTATTGACTCCGTCCTGAAGGGGTTAAAATGTGACGTAGAACTAAAAAAAATTTTTTAGAAATCTTATTTTCTCCCATTTTTACATATTTTATTCAAATTAAATTATGTTTCATACCTAAATATTTGATGTTAAATGAAAGCCCTGTTTCCCTTGAATAAAATGATATATAATAAGAGGTGAGTTAGGGTTGAACAGACATATAGTCAAATTCCAGATTATTTTTACGTTTTGTTTTGATCACATGTACTTTTGGCTCAGTCCTTAAGGGGTTAACCCCTTAAGGACACAGCTTCAGAAGCTTGACTTACGCTTAATGACACAAGCAATTTTTGCATTTTCTTGCTGTTTGCGTTCAACTGCAATTTGCATCTCTCTCATTTATTGCACCGACACATATTATATACTGTTTTTAAAGGACAGAAAGGGCTTTAATTTGATATAACATATATATATATATATATATATAAATGCTTACTTATTATAAAAAAAATACAGAAAAATGCAAAAAAAATGAAAAATATTGTTTTTACAGTTTTTGCAATAATAATGTGTGCATAATTAGTGCAGGTTAAGGAAAGTAATTAAAAATAAATTTATTTATTTGTTCTGATTTACAGAATATATAATGTGTCTGGGATTTTAAGTTTTTTTGGTAGTTACAGGTCACAAAGCACAAGGAGTAAAATAAAATTTTAATGTGGAGCGATTTTAGAATTTGGTATGTTTGTCTTGTAAGCTTAATAGCCATAAAAGAAAACAAAATTGCCACAAAAGTATATATTTATATAAAGTAGACATCACGGGCTATTTACCTAAGGTTGTTTTGACACTTTCTACGTAGCCATTTCACCGCCAACCTCTGCTAAATATTGGAGTAAAATTGTGTTCTTTTTGGTTTTTGGTACACAAACTTATAACAGAGAAATTCTCGTGTATATTTTGTAAAGTTGGTGTGTGCTATTCCTGTACAAAGTTTTATTTTGTGTTCAGTTACATCTGCTGAGTAAAATGACACCCCCATTGTATGTCTTTTGCACTATTTCGTGAAGTTACAGTGCCATACAGTATACCTGTCCTTTTCAGTATTCACAGTAGAATTTTGAGAGATGAATTTAATGAGCCTTAGCTTCCATTTGGGGTATTATAACAGTTTGACTGTTCAAAAAAACCCCACAAAGGCCTACCATTTGTAAAAGTAGACACTTCAGGGTATCTTATAAGGTGCATATTGTGCCTTAACATGCCCCTATTTTTTCACCAATATATGCCAAAGTATGTGGTAAAAAAACAATTTTGTGCATTTTTTACATACGGATTGCATTTTTGCTGGGCATTTTGTATATTTCATATGTGCCACTAAGTTCAAACCCCCCAAATTATGCTCAGCTAAGTCTTCTGAGTAAAATGACACCCCATATGAATGTCTTTGGCACTATTTCCTGAAGCTACAGTGCCATATAGGATACCTGTCCTTTTCAGTATTCACAGTAGAATTTTGAGAGATGAATTTAATGAGCCTTAGCTTCCATTTGGGGTATTATAACAGTTTGACTGTTCAAAAAACCCCCACAAAGGCCTACCATTTGTAAAAGTAGACACTCCAGGGTATCTTATAAGGTGCATATTGTGCCTTAACATGCCCCCATTTTTTCACCAATATATGCCAAAGTATGTGGTAAAAAAAAATTTTGTGCATTTTTTACATACGGATTGCATTTTTGCTGGGCGTTTTGTATATTTCATATGTGCCACTAAGTTCAAACCCCCAAATTATGCTCAGCTAAGTCTTCTGAGTAAAATGACACCCCATATGAATGTCTTTGGCACTATTTCGTGAAGCTACAGTGCCATATAGGAGACCTGTCCTTTACAGTATTCACAGTAGAATTTTGAGAGATGGATTTAATGAGCCTTAGCTTCCATTTGGGGTATTATAACAGTTTGACTGTTCAAAAAAACCCCACAAAGGCCTACCATTTGTAAAAGTAGACACTCCAGGGTATCTCATAAGGTGCATATTGTGCCTTAACATACCCCCATTTTTTCACCAATATATGCCAAAGTATGTGGTAAAAAAATTATTTTGTGCATTTTTTACATACGGATTGCATTTTTGCTGGGCGTTTTGTATATTTCATATGTGCCACTAAGTTCAAACCTCCCAAATTATGCTCAGCTAAGTCTTTTGAGTAAAAATACACCCCCAATGAATGTCTTTGTCACTATTTTGTGAAGCTACAGTGCCATATAGGAGACCAAGCCATATCCGTTTTTACCAAACTTTGAATTTTGACGCTGGGCCTATATGCAATTTCCAAGCATCTTCGCAGGTTTTAAATTCAATCTACCCCACAAAGGCCTACCATTTCTTAAAGTAGACACCCCAGGGTGTTTCAAAAGGTATAGTTTGAACCTTAGCGTGGGATCATTTTTCCGCTAGCTTGTACCAGATGTAGTGGTAATAAGCATTTTTTCTGCCTTTTTGACATACAAAGTGAGTTTGCGCAGCATATTTTGCAAACCTTATGTGTGCTACGACTGTATAATACTTCATATGTTGCTCAGCTATGTCGGCTGAGTACAGCAATACCCCCGTATGTACCTTTGCCAGGTATGTGTGGACATCGGAGGGGCACATTTGGGACACAGCCATTCCAGTTTTTTCAAACTTTGAATTTTATGCTGTGCCTATGTCCCATTTTAGAGTATTTTACCAGGCTATATAATCCAAATTCCCCATAAAGCCATACCATTTCTTAAAGAAGACATCCCAGGGTATTTAAAAAGGCATATTTTGAACCTTAGTGTGGGATCATTTTTCCGCTAGCTTGTACCAAGTGTAGTGGTAATAAGCATTTTTTCTGCCTTTTTGACATACAAAGTGAGTTTGCGCAGCATATTTTGCAAACCTTATGTGTGCTATGACTGTATAATACTTCATATGTTGCTCAGCTATGTCGGCTGAGTACAGCAATACCCCCGTATGTACCTTTGCCAGGTATATGTGGATGTTGAAGGGGCGCATTTGAGACGCAGCCATTCAGTTTTTTTCTAACTTTGAAGTTTTACGCTGTGTCCATGTTCCAATTTGGAGTAGTTTAGACGGTTGGTTATTGAAACTTCCCCACAAACACATACTATTTATTAAAGAATACACCCTTGGGTAATTCAAAAGGCGTATTTTGAACCTTGGCGTGGGATAATTTTTTCTCTAGTTTGTTCCAGGTGTAGTGGTAATGAGCGTTTTTAAAATGTATTTTTTTACTTTTTATAACTTTTTTTTACTTTTAAAAACTAGTTTTTAAACTTTTGTTTTGCTTATAAATTTTTTTTAAACTTTCCTAAACTTTCTTAAAACTTTTTTACAGATTTAACATTTTTCTAAGCTATTTTTTTTACTGTTAACCCCTAACTAGCAGTACGCAGCACTAACAGTAAATTCCCCATTTTCCCATAACTCCCACCCACCCCAGCTAGCAAAATATATAGTTATAAAATATTTAAATTAATTAATTAAATAAATTGAACCCCTGAGGGTTAAAAAAATAAATAAAAGTTAATCCTCAGGGGTTAAAAAAAATTAGATCACAGTATAATACTGTGATCTCTATTTGATCGCTGTAGGCAGTGATCGACTGGCAGGGAAGGGGTTAATTTTTATTTGGACTAGGTAAAGTGTGTTTTTTTGTTTTTATTACTTAAATGTTATTAAAACATTTTTTAAGCTTAATTTTTAACTTTTTAAAGTTTCTTTTAAAACTTTTTTTTAACGTTAACCCCTAGTTAGCCTAACGCCAAATCCCCCAATTCCCCACTAACTTCCACCTACCCCAGCTATCTAAATATATAATTTAAAAATAATTTAATTAATTAATTTAATTAATTTAACCCCTGAGGGTTAAAAAAAAAAAGAATTAACCCTCAGGGGTTAAAAAAAAATCAGATCATAGTAAAATGTAATCCCTGCCAATTGATCACTGTAGTCAGTGATCAATTGGCAGGGAATGGGTTAATTTTTTATTAAAATGGGTAAGGGGGGGGACACTTTAAATTAACTTTATTTTTTTTTCCAGCAGGGGGCAGGATCATCACTGATCCGGCTCCCTGCACTTCACACAGAACCCGGAAGTGCAGGGAGCCGGTAGGTGAGTATACAGAGCACATGTGCTCGCTCAGACTTGTGGTCAGAGCGAGCACATGTGCTGGGCAGCTGACCGGGTGCTCCCGGTATGCCTCTAATGCAGAGGCATACCGGGAGCACCATTAACCCCGCGATCGCCGCGATAGCGGCGATCCGGGGTTAATTTTACCGCGTGACGGACAAGGTCCGTCACCCGTCGTTAAGGGTCTCCCCTGTGTGACGGACCTCGTCCGTCACCCGTCCTGAAGGGGTTAAACTACAATACATGTGTTTAGAAATCAGTTTGAAATGTTGGGAGGTATGGTTTAAGATGACAGCAGTGGAGTCCATGATTTTGTATGCATTGTTTTCTAGCAATAAAGTTGTGTGCATTCCTGAGGTTATTGGCATTTGTTGCTGTCACTTCCTGTGCTGCCTTCAGAATTGGTTGTTGCTGAATCTTCCAGCAGAGCAGAAAGTGACAGAAACGAGGAAATGCCTTTCAGTCTCACCTTTCTAGGTCACAGATAATCAGTGTTCAACTAAAAAAATATTGGTTCACAGACAGGGGAAGACTGGCAAGTGGGCAGTTTCCCCCCCTAGCTACTTGCATGCAGGAGTTATCAATCTTTGTAAATAAGATACATTGTTCTTGTTCTGTATTGCATTTTAATTGCAGAAATTGTTATTAGTAAGACACCTAACTTTCCTGGAGCCGCTGCTTGCAAAGGTGTCATAGAATCAAGTCACTGTGTTCATTGAACTAATATGAAAACCAAACGTGATTGTATGTAACTTTGTAAACTTTGTGTCAGTGCAATAAAGTTATTGTATTCTGGGGCCAGAGTCACCCTCTCTCTGTTGAGGTTACTTCCTGTGCTGCTGGCAGCAGTGTTGATGTCAAAACACTTCTTCAAGGAATCCTCCAACAGAGCACAGAGAGAGTGACAGAGAAATGAGCAAATTCCATTCAGATAGTGTTCAATTGTTGCCAGGTAACCATAAGGTGCAGCCAAGAGAAATGAGCCTGTACAACCACTGCTCATGTATATATAGCAGAGCAGCATGCAAGACACAAACAAAGCTACTACAGACAAATACGTAGATCTGCAGAAACAGAATCTGGAAAGAACATCCACTGTGAGTCTTGGGTATTATCCTGAGCAGTCTCCATTACACTCTTATGGACCTCAGTGGAACCGAGGCTCATATTCTCATGGTGGGTCTCGATGCAGCTGGGAAGACCACAGTTCTGTACAGGCTGAAGCTGAATGAAACGGTCTCCACTATCCCTACATTTGGATACATTGTGGAAACGATTGAGCCCATTTGTAATGAGTCCTTCACTGTCTGGGATGTTGGTGGCCACGAAAAGATTAGACCACTGTGGAGACATTACTCTCAGAACAGACATGGACTGATCTTTGTGGTAGACAGTGCTGACTGGGAGAGATTTCCTGAAGCAAAGAGTGAGCTTGAAGCAATTCTTGAAAATGATGATATGAGAGGGGTCCCACTTTTGGTGATGGCCAATAAGCAGGACCTACCAGGTGCCAGGAAAACACTGGACGTAGCCGAGGCACTGGGACTGATGAAGATACAGGGTCACCAATGGCATATCCAGGGATGCTGTGCTGCAACAGGGGATGGATTGGTGGAGGGGCTAGAGATCTTCACCAACATGGTGAAACAATTCAGAAGCCATACTGAGTTGGGAGTAAGAGCATCTTGTCTGACTTGAGTGCATGCTCAAGGAAAACTCAGGTCTGCATTTTGGCAAACAGCACGAGCTGTGAGTAAATTTAAATAACTGACTGGTGGCAATTAAAAGAGTGCAAAAACATTAAAAATAAATAAATTTTAAAAATTACCTTTCCGCTCAAACTGACTTTTCTAACTCCTGAAAATCTACATTGAAAGGTGATGGAATGGGAAACGGAACTCTCAAATTTGGTTCACAGTTTGGACTAATTTAACTTTCAAACACTTTGTTGGCAGAACCTTTTGCCAGAGATTTAGGAGAATGAAGCATAAATTGAATGATTCTATAGAAAGTGCATAACAATGTTATACCGTGTGCCATATTTTTCATATAATGTTGCATTAAATTGTTAATTTTACAAATAAAATCTATAAATGTTTCCACAAAGAAAATTATTTTTTAAAGATTTTTTTGTTATAACACACAATGCACTTTATCTATAAGATGTTCATATAACAAATACCTGTTGGTAAATGAAAAACAGTTGCTAATATATATTCACTAAACAGTTGGTAAATGTTGTTACATGGAAAAAGGTACAGATTTTTATTAAATAAATAAATAAAAAATAAATAAAATTATTAAACATTTTTTTAAAAATATGTTCATCTCTGAAAATGTTTAACATAGGAGTCTATTAACTAAACAAGGAGTTAAAAATCAAATTGAAAAATTTAGAGCAAAAATTGCTAAGGTAGAAATAAATATCTATCTTTGTTGCAATAAGTTGATTGTGAATTCAACGTTTAGTGAATAGAACCCAAACTATTTTGTAGTACTGCAGATGGCCAGAGAGGGCACCTCGCATATTATTTTCCTCTCCAACTCTTTAAGAGTCTGATCCACAACTGCTTGCATGTATGCAGCGCTCTCAAGTGTCCCTATTTAGGAAGGACAGTCCCTATATTGGGCCCAAAGACCTCAATCCAAATGTCGCTCTTCTCTAGGTGTGCCTGGGTGTATAATGGAATAAACGTGTTCAAACCATTTTATTTATTTATAAAATATTTTACCAGGAAAGATACATTGAGATTTCTCTCGTTTTCAAGTATGTCCTGGGTCCACAAAACATTGCATTGATACCATAGGGTACAATAAAATACAAAAACAATATTAATACAAAATTTAACATAGAACAGGTAGGAAATATGTAATCAGCTATGACAGGTGTATTCTGTTTTTAGATATGTTGAGAGGGATCTCTTAAAGGATTTTAGGCGTGGGGAAGATTTGAGAGTATGTGTGATGATACGGCCTTAATATCAGGGACGCACTGACAGCCTTGTGGGCTCCTGGGCAAAATCACCTCTTGGCCCCTTTACACCAGATATATATATATATATATATATATATATATATATATATATATATATATATATATATATATATATATATATATATATATATATATATATATATCACACACACACTTTCTTTTCTTTCTTTTTTTTTTTAACATAAAAAACATACAATGCACTGTTCCAAATTATTACGCACAGTAAGTTTCAAAACACTTTATAGGTTGTAAAGAACTAAAAATTGTCATTTATTGTGTTTGCAGCATATTTACTGAAATCAAAAAGCTATTTCAATCAAACTTATAACAACATTTTAACTTTTTAAACATTTTAATATAGGACCCCTTATTTGATAGCAGCTTCACAAGTCTTGCATTCATTGAACTTGTGAGTTTTTGGACAGTTTCTGCTTGAATTTGTTTGCAAGATGTCAGAATAGCCTCCCAGAGCTGCTGTTTGGATGTAAACTGCCTCCCACCCTCATTGATCTTTTGCTTGAGGATGCTCCAAAGGTTCTCAATAGGATTGAGGTCATGGGAGGATGGAGGCCACACTATGACTTTCTCTCCTTTTATCCCCATAGCAGCCATTGATGCAGAGGTATTCTTTGCAGCATGAGATGGTGCATTGTCATGCATGAAGATGATTTTATTATGGAAAGCATAGTTCTTCCTTCTGTACCAGGGAAGAAAGTGGTCAGTCAGAAACTCCATATACTTTGCAGAGGTCATCTTTACACCTTCGGGGACCCTAAAGGGGCCGACCAGCTCTCTTCCCATGATTCCGGCCCAAAACATGACTCCACCACCACCTTGCTGACGTCGCAGCCTTGTTGGAACAGGGTGGCCATCCACCAGCCATCCACTACTCCATCCATCTGGACCATCCAGGGTTGGATGGTCCAGATGGATGGAATGCTTGTGAGCATTGGTTAGTGGTGGCCGAATAGAAGGTTTATGCACAGTTGCAAGACTCTGGAGGACTCTACACCTTGATGTCCGTGGGACTCCAGAGGCACCAGCAGCTTCAAATATCTGTTTGCTGCTATGTAATGGTATTTTAGCAGCTGCTCTCTCGATCCAATGTATGGATCTGGCAGAAATCTTCCTCAATGTGCCTTTATCTGCACGAACCCGTCTGTGCTCTGAATCCGCCACAAATCTCTTAATAGTGCGATGATCATGCTTAAGTTTTCGTGAAATATCTAATGTTTTCATACCTCGTCCAAGGTATTGAACTATTTCACTCTTTTCGGCATCAGAGAGAGCCTTTTTCTTCCCCATATTGCATGAAAATGGTGCTCTGCCTAATAATGTGGAACACCCTCCTTTAGTAGTTTTTTCCTTAAATTGGGCTCACCTGGCAATCTAATTATCATAGGTGTCCGAGATCGTTTTCAGTGATCAAAAGAGCCCTGAGACACAATGCCATCCATGAGTTAAACTGAAAAACAAAATATTTAATCTTTGTGACACTTAAATAGAATTTGTATAGTAATTTGGAACAGGGTGGATATTAAAACACACACACGGTACAGGTACATATATACATATACATCTTTTTTTTTAATTCAAAATGTACATGCACAAAGACAAAATCACTACACACATCTCACTACAGAAAATTCACACTGACATATGCAACAAGCTCACTACACACAAGCACACTGATATATACACCATTACAGCTCACTGACATACACACAATGTCATTGCACACAAGTTCACTGACACATTCACAAACACAAACTCACTACACACAAGCTCACATATAGACATTCAATCTCACAATAGAAAAATCAATATCCGCCACTCACTATAAAACACATACCAAGCTCAATACAGAAAGCTCATTGACATATACAAGCTCACTGTAAACATCTAACTACACTGAAACTCAGACAGACAGCTCACTGACATATACACACAAGCTCACTACACACAACTCGCTACAGACAGCTCACTGACACACACAGCTGTTACCATGGCAATGCTCTGGTTCTTGCGAGAGTGAACTTTTACCTCAGGAGCTGCAAGTTAGAGATCACTTCCCACTAAGACCACCAGGGATTGCCTTGTACTGTCTCCCCTCCCAGGCAAAGGTAAGAAGGGAGGGGGATATAAAAATTATTTTAATGAAAAAAATATATATATTTATTAATCTGATCCCGACCCACAATAACTCTCCCACACACACACACACACACAGACACTACCCCCAATACAAATACACTTCCCCAATATACACATTGCACCCCATACACACACACTGCCCCCAAAACGCCCACATACTGCACTCCCATACACACACACACACACACACACACACTGCACCTCTCAAGCATTGTCCCCAATACACACACACACACACACTACTTCCCCTATTCCTTTCTACTGCCCCTATTCCCTACTACAGCCCCTATCACAGCAGACCTCAGGTAATTTGTCAAACTGTTCTGTGGCGGAACCAGCCTCGCCACTGGGCATTGGAGAAGACTGATTGCCAGCCTCCTGCCCTGTGACTATGGCCCCATGTTGAAATGCTGGATTTTCCCCTGCAAAGACCCGAAAGCCGGGTCATTCGGTACTTTCCCTATGTGAGCAGTGTTACCCCAGATAGCTATGCCATGGAGCCCATTTGTGTAACGAAAGACTATGTGAAAGACTTTGGCTCCACGGCAATTGAACTGTATGTATGTGATCTGAGCGCCATTCAGTAATAATTTGCGCTCAGATCTAAGCTATCTGGGGATATGTTGAATGTACCCATTTTATACAATCGCTGCACAGTTATATATTTTTATGTATTTTATTGTATTTTGCTACCATGTGGCTAATGGAGTTTTGCCTCTGTCCTTGGAGATAATTGGATTACTTCCCAATTATCTCCAGGATAGAAGACTTTGTGGAACTGGTTTTGGGCAGAAAAACCATGCTTCATTTTGTCAAATAGGACTTTCCCTTAACTTTTTAACCCCTGAACCGATTGCCCTGATTTTTGAGTATGTGTATATTTCAAGCATGCGGATTCTGAAAATGTATGTTTTATGTGAATGGCATGTATATTTTGGAAGTTATTAATATTTTGTAAAAACTGTATTTCTCAGAGGGGAGGATTTTGTGTGGGAGTGTCTGTATGTATTGTACGGATTGATTGGTTGTATTTAAAAACCCTGTGGGCAGTACTATGTTTGTGGATTGTGAATAAAAGAGGATGTATGTGCCAGTACAGGCAGTTCTGCTTGACCTCAAAACGAAGTGTCGTCTTGTTATTGGGGGAATTGGATTGTATGCTGATTGCCAGGAATGTAAGCTGATTGTATGCTTTTCCTGTTCAGCTGCTTACAGCATTCAATGCTTGAGAGCATTCGTATGCTTCTCCGGTTCGGTGGTTGTGGTGTCTGCTGCAGTGCTTGGAGTCCTCAGGAAGCGCTAGGAGCATCCGTCAACGGAGGTACCCAGGCAGGGTGCCAGGTGATCCGTTACATTGGTGGCAGCAGTGGGATGGCGTCATAGTGCGAGGTAAAGAAGCTCAGAGACACCGATCGTGGAGTTACAAATTGAGGGCAACGCTAGCACTCGTGCATCGCCCCTGGGAGCAGAGGTATCCAGCGACTTGGAGCAGACAGGTATGGAAGGCTCTGGCTCTGAAGATGATTGGCTGGCCGAGGTGAGGCAGCGAGTGGCCCAGTATGGGGATGATGTACCCATGGAGATACGCCGGGTGATATGGAACCAGGTCACGGACGAGCGAAACACAAAGCTGGTCCGATAATTCCGGCTGGTGACAGAGCTCCTGTACTTAGACTGAGTACCTCCACCCAAGCCGCTTCCTAGCCGTTGGGAAGGGAGCCTGGAAAACTTCAGTCCTAGTTGCTGAAGCTCTTCCAAACGACCAGACTCTTCTCCCTGGCAAGTATTGTTAATTCTACCTATTCCTCAGCAGCTTTCCTTCCAGGCATAGTGCACTGCAATCCTTCTCCAGGCAGGGATTGTCCCCTCTGCCTATTCCACTGCAGCATTCCTTCTATGCA